CGGACGACGAAGAAAATTTTAAAAAACTAAGGAAAGGAATGAGTTGGTGAGGTGCTATGAATTCAGAAGAAGCTATATATATAGAAAATCATATTATCAGATTAGGGTTTACAATAGATATATCCGACTGTTATATATCTATCTAGATGTATAAAAATTAACAACGAATAAAACAACATAATATACATGAATAACAAAGAGGAAATAAAAGAGCTAAGACATCATATGAACAAAAGAAAACTAAATCATACAAAATAAATAATAGAAATTAATGACAAAATTCATACCTTGATTAGTGAATATAAAACATGCAAAACAAAAAGATTAGATTTAAAAAGGTGTCGATGAGGGTAAGAGAGTTAGTAGTACTAGCTGATAACCAGCGCATATACGTATCATTTTTGTATATATGTTATCTTGTCTATTGAATAACATTATTTTTGGTTTTGAGATATCATATACTCCTAACACTAACACTGTAAACAAATCTAAAATCCATGAAAACCACAATACATGTAATAATTGATGCTTACACTTGATATTTTATCAAACATGTTGGTTTTTCCCCTGTTAGAACTAATTATTATATTTTCAAAATTTTGAAAGTCCTCTAATTCTCCACTTCTCCACCGATCTCTTCCTTTCTCAGCACTCCTCGGCTACTCTTCTCCTCGGCTACTCTTCTACCTTTCAATATATTTCGTATCTCAACATTCTTTTCCCGTGGTGTACATCACCCTCTTTTTCATTCACTTTTCTCTACTTGTTTGCTTGTTGTTTATAGTATTTTCAATCGCGGAATGGGAAAACTTATCTCTTCATCAGTAAGGTATAAGTTTTCTTTTTCAAGTTTGATTTAGATTTTTACTAGCAAGAGTTGAAGAAACTCGTAAATCTTATTGAAATTGTTTTTTAATAGATATAAACAGTTTTATGCATTTTTTTTGTTCAGTTATCTTAGTCTCGTAAGCTTATGTATATTTTGGTTTTTGTTCATCGTAAAAAAATAATTGAGTTTTAGGATACTATTTCTTAAATGTTGGTCTTCCTAACGTGTGATTGAATGTAATATTTTTTTTTATTGAACTATAAACTTTTTAATAAAAAAAAATCCTTTCATATTTCATAGAATATATAACTTTTCAAATAATATAGAAAATATTGGTTTTTTTCTTAACATTTTATTATGATAGTTGATTTTTACTAATTGTTTCAATTATAAAATTTATAAACACATTTTAGCTTTCTTTATATGTCAGAAATAAGTTTTATTTATATGTGTAATATATATTTTGGTAAAACAAATTCATATTATCATTACTAATAAAATCATGTATAGTTTTGTATTTATTAATTTTTATTTTCATTCATTTTATTTAATTTTTCACGTTTTTAAATCTAATTTAATTTTTTATTAGTTATACAAAACAATAAATATGATTTAGTGTGTAGTAAATGACCATTTTAAAATTTAAATGTTTTAAAAAATATTTTTGCCTATGTGGAAACCTTCGATGGAGAGAAAAATCCCTCATTATATAATAGACTAAAAAATTATATAGGGTTTAGGGTTTAGGGTATGTATTATAGATTTGTTTGCTATTTTAGGATCAATAAAATGGTATCATGAATTTTTTTGATTTTGTGGATCAAACAAA